AAAATAAAGAAGAATAAATTGTTCAAAATGAAAATTAAAATAAAAAAGTGCAAATAATAGTCCAAAATTAACACACTAGAAGAAAAAAGCGAATTTAAAATGTCGAACTTCGGTATACGCAAAGTAAAATCTTAAATGAATATAAAAAACAATCAGCTTCTTCCAACATTTCAGGAAAGTTCATTCCTCATTGAAAAATTGAAAAAAATCCCCATTTCGATCCATTTGTCCGTCCATCCGCCTCTCCCTTGTCTAATCCGATGATGGAAAGTTCTATTTTGAGTAAAAAATAAAAAACGCAATTGTGCAAAATAAGTAACCTTTCAAATGATGTTTCACAGGGGCCATTTAAGTTCTTAATTGGATAAAATGAATAACACTACACTTAGTCCCCCTTCAATACAAAGTTAACGTATTCGAGCAGTTTTTTTAATTTTCTAGAAAACAAATTTAAAAATCTTAAATAAAAGGTTACCTTTGATTAAGCGTACGGAATACTTAGTTTAGCCTTTTACCCAAGTTTTCAGTATACGTAGACGACTAAAATATCCTGGTACAACGATCACAAGCAAAATTACCTACTATTTGCACAAATGACTTCTCCCTGAATAGATCGAACTTTCGAACCGCCGATATATTTAGTCTTCCTGCGCGATTTAACTACTAAAGTTTTTCGAAAACACAACATTTTTCAAGCTCGGGTTAAACTTCCGAAATGGCAAGAAGCGTATATAACTCAAGAATGTGTGTTTGTATAAAATCTTTTGTTACGTAGCGTATCTCAAGTTTACTCTTCCTGAAATATGTAAGTCGAGCAATACCTGAAAGACGGCATTCTTTCCTTATAATGAAATACGTAGAAGAATGTCTGTGTGCTCTTTTGGCAGTAGGTATACATTCTGATCGAGTTATAAAAACCAAGATACTTCTTTGGGGATCTAATTAACTAAAAGTTACTTCCCTTTTATAAAAGTTACGTAATTGAAACGAAAAATAGGAAGGAAACGGCCTTATGCTAAAAAATATCTGTTCCTTCCCTATCGAGGCAATAAAAGGAGGAAAATTATATTATTTTGTTATTCATAGTCCTGTTCCATCCATTAAAACTTTGGTCTCGAGGGCGTATTTTGCAAAATAAAAGAGCAGCAGCTCGGTGTCGAGTTGCTTCGGCGGCTTTACTTCCATCTTTGCTTTGCTCTCTCTTTTAGGGTCCTTCGTCCCTATGGGAGCGAGACGGCAATCAGCTAACGTCACCAAATTGGTAGGTATATTCCGTAAACGCATAATTACCATAGGGACATATCGCAGTGATCGACGTAAGGTTTATTAGGAAATATGTCTTGGCAAAGTTTTCTGAGATTAATGTACCAAAATATATACGCGTCTAGAGATTAAAACGCATATTTTTCAGTTACAAAATCGTTCGTTTAAAGCGCTATATCTAATATAAAAATTAACATAGCATTATTCGTTAAAATAAGGATTAAGCAAGCAAAGTTGACTGTAGCGAAATTGCCTAAAGTTGTTTTCCTTGCAATAACTAGGTCCTTGGTTCCCAAACCGCTATAGTAAAATCAAAAAATGTACTAGGAAAAGTTTAGAAAGAAGCAAAACTGAAAAATTATTCATTACCTGCAGTCAAATTATCGCTTTATAAAATATACAATAGGTGATAAACTGTAGGTACCTACCTAATAAAAAAATTTTTGACGGTAGTCCATTTAAACCTGTACCCAGGAGGAAAGAGGGATTTTTCTTAGGTGGACGGGTTGTTTACTAATGGCTTGAGTTTCAATGGAAATTAAACTCTTTTCCCTGACAGTAATAAAATATGTTAATCTTTTCAGTGTATAATTGCAGTCTCTTTAAACCTTTGAATTGTATAATAGTGTAAAGTAGTCTATAGGGGTTTTTCCTAGGTTAATGGGTTGATCACTTATCCCTCCAGTCCCATCTAAAGTTAATGCCTTTTCTCTGACAGTGTTAACAAAATTGTTAATCTTTTCAGGTGTTGATGGCAACCCCTTTAAAACTGTGCCAAATATGAGATGGAATAGTGGATGGGTTGAAAACCCATTGAAATTAAAGCATCTTCTCTGACAGTAATAAACAGTGACGGACATGGAGCATATGACCAACTGTCACTAATTTTGTATCACTTGCTTATACGCTGATTAATTTACTTTCAGTTCTTAGCCCTCTCTCACAGAAATATCTTAGATTATTTATTTATTTACTGTCCCTCTCTTGTTCTGGGCCCTGAACAAGCTTTCGCCCAATTACAGAGTGACCCGCATAATACTTTTTAGAGGTGTCCCTGCAGAAAGTCTTAAAGTTGTGAATTAGGAAAACTGCAGGAAAACCTAATTCGTAGTATAGAATGCTGGAAACTACTCTAAGGAAATTCCCATCTCTGCCACAGATGAAAAATTCACCTCAACCCAGGTTCAAACACCCGACCTCCCGGCTGTGTACCCCAACGCTCTACCACTAAACCACACATTCGGGTTATTATCTTCTAATAATAACGTCTGTTGACAAAGCGTGACGTACCTGCGATTTTGTGTATGATACGACCGCTGATTGCATTGCATATTACCTACCATTGAATTGTGAAATACAAAACTTTCGCTTCTAAACGGCGCGGCTCCAACGTTAATAAGAAGATATTGGAAAATTTACACCCGGAATACAGCCCTATGACGAAGTGGTGAGGATTTGAATAGCTGTTTGAGATATGTATGTGACTTTACCTGCGATGTACTTATTTCTTTTTTTACTCTATTTTACTTGGGGAAAAGCTTTGGGACACAATTCCCCCTCCCTGGTAATACTCAAATTTAATGTAGATAATAACTAACTCAACTAACTGTTACTAATTGTATATAATATACCATTGAATAAGTAATTATAATTACCTACTTAATCAATTATATTACCTAGTAATAAATGTCGCAGTCATCTTCACCACTATCATTTTCCTTGTCGCTTTGGCTACTTCCAGTATTAAATCAATATTTTTTTAAATTTTTTATAATAATTAGACGTATGGACTATGGAGTATGGTGTAGACCGTAGATTACAAATTTACAAATGGAAGTGGCGGTCACTAGATTATCATATTCTGTCCAACAGTAATCTGAATAGTGTATAAAATTAATTCCTCGTGTAAGTTGTAAACTTGCAAAACCGTTTGCGCTGTTGTAGGTCCCGTATAATGCAAAAAATATGTAAATGAAACGTTATTGATCAAACGAATTTCAGAATTTTGTATTGCAATTATATACGTGCTCCCATCTCTCGATTGTAATTGAAACTTAAAGTTAAGTGAATAGTTCGCTGTACTGAATTTGAAAGTGCGGTGATGGTTGTACCATTGAATTTATAGATAGTTATAAATTCAATGGTTGTACATTTTGTTATTTTGAATGTGCACTTGCTCACGCAATAATTACTGGAATAACTTCCTCTGGACCAGTTCTAGCTTAGATTCACGCTGCAGAATATTCTTCGTCCTTTATAAAATATGTTATAAATTATTCTGAAATTAATTCCTAACAGTAGTCGTCAACATAAACTATTTTATGACAATGTGAATGTACTTACTGTACTGGCAAGTGCAGAAACGGTACGGTACCCCGCGTTTCTTTTGTTATGAGGTTGAGAAAAATACCTATGTGGAACTATTAACAACCTTTTAATTTTATAAAAGGTACAGTCGTGGTCAGAAGTAAATGTCCTTCCTTAGAAACTGCAACTGTAGAAAAAGTACCAATGTGTCAGTTTCTCCGTGAATTAGTTCAATTTCATTTCAATCTTAGGCATTTTCTTCATGTTGAAAAGAAGCTCAAATCTCACAGGAGATCCGGTATATTAATTATGTGCTACACTTGAGATAATCGAGGAACATTACTTCTGACCAAAACCGTACATATGTGTCTGAAATCTGAATGTACAATTCTGAGTGTTTAAGAAACTGTGTGTGGTAAATTCGCCCCTAGAAAAGTTCGGCCTCGGAATATTCACCACCGGAACATTCGCCCCCGGAAGATTCGTATCAAGAAAATACGTTTGCGGAAGATTCACCCCCGAAAGACCATTGCTACCACGGCAAATGAAGTAACTTAAATAAGTTATTGTCCCTATTTTGGGCTCATACTTGTACTCCATATTACATTTTTAGTGCACCTTTTTTAATTAAAAAGTGGTATATTACATACCAAGTGAGTAGGACTAGGTGCAGATCGTTAACCGCAACGTAGTTGAGGACAACAAGCACCCGAGGGATTAGGGCGCACTTTAGTCCTGTGGCGTATACCTACGCTATTTTTTGTACTCCTGTAATCAGCTACAGCAATTTCAATGTTAAAGTCCAAATTTAAAGAAAAAAATGTGTTTGATTATACATAGAATCAATATACCTACCTTGCCATTTCAAATAGTGTAAGTATATATGTAATAATAACTGTCAGTTTAAGATAAAGATTATGATCAGTGGCGGCTTAAAGGGGGAGAAAGGGGGCGGTTTCTACAAACTTAAGTTAAGACATTACCGAAAAGTATTAAAAACGTACAAACTTGTGCAATTTTATATAATAGTCTAATAAGCGAAATATTATTACAAATTCGCGCATTGTAAGTAAAGGTACTTGTAGACGTGCCAATGGCCACTAGTAGTCGAGGCACACAAATTAAATAAAAAAAAACTTATTTGCACCAATGTTATCCATATAAAAAGAAATCTCTCTAGAAATCAATTATGTTGATGCAGTAGGCAAATTTAGTGAAAGAAAAGGTCGTAGTCATGTATACAGCGTGTTACAAACTGATTGTTTTTAATGTTTTTGAGGGATATTTTGAACAAAATTAAAAACTAAGCAGGCTATGAAAAATATAAAAATACCCCCTACTAAGAGACTATTTTTACAGAATGCTTATTCTTTATACTTTTTTGATATTTCCACAAATAATACATAAAACAAAGACTTGTTATTGCATTTTTTTATTTTTGCGTTGTTCCTGACGAGAACTGACGAGGACTTTCAAAACTAAATTATAATGTCATAAATGTTAACGATGGTAACCTTTGAAATTAAAATTAAGGTTGCTCGCCGTTCAAAATCCAAATGTTGGTCGCTGTTCAAAGTCCAAAGTTTTCTCGCCGTTCAAAGTCCAATGGTTGTCGTCTTTCAGAGTACAAACGTTAAAAATATACCATTTAAATAGGAGGCGAGTAGCCTTTAACCTACAAAAGATAGGACCATTAATCTTTGATGGCCTTGAAGATGAAATATGACACCACAAAAAATTGAGTTCACTAAACGAGAACTGCAAATAATTCTATTAAAATTCGATTAAAAAAACCAAATCACAAGTACATACGTGCGTTATATATGAACTGTATTAAAAAATAAATTTTAAATCTTATGACAATGTACCTTAGGGTATTTATTTAATAATTAATATGGTGGTCAAAAATAGAGTAACCATCGGAATTGCGTTTCTAGATGCCGTATTACACGGTTTTCCTATTCCAGAGAACGACTTACAAACGCATAGCTCGACTTCATGCCCATCAACAGTTTGCCTGTAACAACCATCGGTTACCGCGCTTTCTCCACTCATTGAGACTTTTGTAGTGAGATACGTTATATTTTGAACTATGACAAAAAAAAGGACAGAAGAATGTAGGTCAATCATGGGGCACTCACCAACATTGTTATAGATGAAACTGTACTTCACACAAACTTGTCCATTAGCTTGTCGTGTTACCACTTGATCTCTGTGGTGTTCCCAGATGTAGTTGATGTCAGGTGGTGAACCATCATCTACAATCGCACCAGTGATTCTAATGCAGTAAATCGTCCTTACATTTTTTTACATGTTATTACCAATGGATTTCTACACGGGATGTGATTATCTCTTTTGGCGTCTAAAATTTCCGCGCAAGTTGTATTGATCACATTTTCCTTCGTGAACTCTGTTCCTAGCCAGGTAAATCTGAAGCAGTAAGGTTTCGACGTATCGTACGTTCCGTTTATTTCAGTATATAAACTTATATTATTAGCATAGGTGAAACAATCTAAAAGATAGCTCAGTACATTCATGTACTCGAGAGGATTAGATACTTACGAATATAGGCTAGTAGGAGCCAAAATGTATCGAAGGATCTTGACACAAGTGTCATGATCAGTTATGTATACAATACAACGATAGAAAAGGAGTGGGCCGTACTTGCTACTGATAAGATTGATATTACAGTTAATTGCAAATAAAGGTATCAATGTCAGAAATAGATAAACAGGAATAGATCATCCACACCTATATTGTCATTTCACTTTTTAATACATACCTACACATTGTGACAAGAACATCATCGCAGCATATACAGTATTTGGTTCAAATAATCAATTTTCCAGAAACTGAAATTTTCCTATCTACCTCATTAAATCTATGATTATTATGAATCATCGTTTCGTTAGAAAACCCCAAGGAATAATTTCCAAAAACCAAATCCATTATGCAAACGACTACCGAGTAACCGTATACAGGGTGTCTTAAATTGAGTAGGATAACATGGCTATCTTTGTTATTATTACAACTTCGGTTAAATTGGCAAAGTTGTATAGTTTCCACAGAGTTGTATATAAGTAAATAGAGGGGCAGTACATACGACCTGCGCGTGGAAAAATAACCCCAACTACAGTGGCCGACTTTTAATGGCGGAGCCGTTGGGACGCATGCGCGGTGCGTGAAAGGAGAAGCAGCGCGATTTTGGCTGCATTCAGTTACATAATTACATACAAAGCAGAGCAAAATCTTGTCATTTGCTTCAGATTCATTTGTAAATAAACGGACGCTTTGGAGCAATAATTTAAGCATGCCTCATTACATTATACTCTTTGCCGCTATTTCAATGTTTAGTAGGCGAAGATCTGTGCATAAATAAAGCTTATTTTAAAATGCGAGTCTTTTAATAAATTTATTTTTCAGTTGATCCTACATGATTGTAGTACCTACCTTTATAACTATTTAAATGTTTCAGCAGTGATTATACAGGTGTGTATAATCAATGGTTTCAGACCGCAATCGAAAGTGCTGCTTAAAATAAAGAGATGGAAATCGAAGAGCAATTTTTCCGCAAAGTTCAGAACTTTTGGAAGTATATGCAAGTTTTGATGGGGGTTTTATTCTTAATTAGATTCTTCATTAAACATAATTTTCGAAAAATTAATTACAGCTAAAAGCTGTTCAGGGTTCATTTTAATACGCAGGTTACACCTAAGTTAAAAGTCCAGGAGAAACAGCTAATGCTAATTTCTAAGGCTACCGAATTACTTATTAGTCAGCTGTTTTTTAAATCCGCGAGCTCGCTCTAAAAAGTCGGATCCAGTCGTATCAAACGAAATCGATAATCGATCAACGTATAAAACTGAACGCACATTTTGTTGTTTTTATTTTGAACTTTTTGCTCGTCAAAAATGCCAAAAGTTTGTCTTGTGCCCTTCTGCAAAATGCGAGAACCTACTCAGGGAATAAAATTTTTTAAGTAAGTATAAGTAGGTAACTATATATCCATAAATAAATAACAAGCAATTGCATATTGTGTTACTGTATTTTCAGGATAACTAACGCTAGACGTGTTTTATGGCTACATGCTTTGGGAAGAAATCGAGAGGACGACATTAGTGCACATAATGTTATTTGCTCTCTTCATTTCTCCTCTGCAAGTTTTTTACCAAGTGGAAAATTGAAAAAAGGCGCTTTGCCAACGTTGAAATTGAGGCCTGAAAAACCTGGTTTTACTTCACTTCGTACACATTTAGAACTTCAACATCAGTGAGTATTTTTATTTAGGTATAAGTGGGTATATAAACTGTTCATATAGATTTATCAAAACTATACAAAAACATTCACTTTGACTATTTTCTTTCCTGAGGTGTACCTCAAGCGCTCATAGTAGGAGAGCTGGTAAACATTTTTGGGTAGGTATTTGAGGCACTCTGAAAACTTGTCCAATACTTCTTCAATAATAACCCAAACACAGAATTGCAGACCTGACTGGAGAGTAGCGGGGCTAACACTTCGCCAGGCGCCTTCAAAGTTTGAAAAAATGTATATAATGGCCGCCATAAATACATGAACACCCACTATACTTTGATCAATTTTGATGAAAGTTTCAGGACAATTGTTTTTATTAACGAACTCCAAACGAGTTCATAATTTTGTGATGTCTGTCCGTCTGTCCGTTAGCACGATATCTCGAAAACAAATGGACCGATTACGATGAAATTTTGCAGGTGATTGTTTTTCAAATTTGTAAATCGGAGTTCGTGAATTGGTAATGTAGGGCAAAAATAAGGAATGCCCTTTTGGCATCTTCGTTATTTATATGAACCAAATTGAATGAAATTCAGCATAGCTTTATATAATACGAATGCCTAGCTATAGCTATACCCAGGAACTCGTTTGCTATATTTGTTTACACTTTTATTTCGAAATAAGAAACGATAAACGTTTCAACATGATACAAATTAAAGTAACACTAAGCCAGAAAAACGACATCTACAGTACTGTGGCGTTCAGCGGCATCTACCACCAATGGAGTGGGGTATGATGGGTTGATGGCTAAATGATTTACCTGGAAACAGTTTAGATGATCTTGAAGATCAAAAGTGATCAAAGTACAGTGGGTGTTCATGTATTTATGGCGGCCAGTATACATTTTTTCAAACTTTGAAGGCGCCTGGCAAAGTATTAGCCCCGCTACTTCTCAGCCAGGTCTGCAGTTTTCTGTTTGGGTCAGTATTATTGGAGAAGTATTGGACAAGTTTTCAGCGTGCCTCAACTACCTACCCAAAAATGTCTACCAGCTCTCGGGCTATTATTTCTTTGTTGATACAATAAATTTTGTCTGTAGATTAACCAAACGCCAGCCTCTACTGTTGCCAGTCGCTGCAGAAGCATTAGAACCCTTATCTTCAATTTCAAATGTGATAGAAGAAAGTGAATCACATGGTTTGGTAGGATCGCCCGAAAAAAGAAGAAAGTTAAAGAGACTGGATCACTGCTATTGGTACGTACCTATTTCAAAAACTTTTTTGTTGGCGCAACTTCTTATTGATCATTTTTACAGTTTGAATCCCATAGAACCCTTACCGTCAAATTCCAGTGCGATTGAAGAAAGTGATTCAGATGGTTTGGTAGGATCGCCCAAAAAAAGAAGAAAGTTGACGAGACTGGATCACTGCTATTCGTACGTACCTATTTTTTGTTGGCGTAACTTCTAATTGAACAATTTTACAGTTTGAGTCCTCGAAAAATGAAGCAAGGTTTGGTGCAAAACAAGGCTAAACGAACGCTATTGACGACTCGACTAAAAACTTCAAAACGCAGAATCGTAAGGTTATCGGCAAAAGTTACAAGCTTGAAGAACCTTGTTCTGCACCTGAGAAATAAAAAACTCATTAACGATGAAGCCTATAATATTATTGAAACATCGTGCAGTGGTGTGCCAGCAGTTTTGATGAAGAGACTGTTTGACAACTCAAGGAAGGGCAAGGTCACCAGAAAAATATTCCCGCCAGAACTGAGAAGTTTCGCCATGACGCTCAATTTTTTTTCAAGTAGGGCCTACGAATATGTTAGAAAGACCTTTAGACTTGCACTACCGGCCAAATCGACCATAAGAGCATGGATGTCAAATATTTACTGCTTGCCTGGTTTTTCGCAGACCTCTTTTGATCTCTTGAAAGGAAAGGTGGAAGAAAACAATAGATTGGGTAAATCAACTTTGTGTGCCTTAATGTTGGATGAGATGGCCATTAAAAAACAAATTGATTTTGTTGCTGGGAAATCATGGGGATATGTGGATCTAGGTACAGGCATAGAAGACGATAACCTAGAATGTGCAACAGAAGTCCTTGTACTGATGGTGGTTGCAATTGATGGACATTGGAAATTACCTATTGCCTATTTCTTCATAACTGGCTTAACAGGAGCAACTAAGGCCAGTGTAGTGAAAGAAGCACTCATTAAATTGAATGATGTAGGTGTGTGCATCACTTCACTTACATCAGATGGCCCTAATGCGAACTTTACTATGATGGAAGATCTGGGTGCCAAAGTGAAAAATATCTTCACACTTCAACCTTATTTCTTTCACCCTTCTACAGAGCAACCTGTACATTGTATATTGGATGCATGCCATATGCTCAAATTGCTGAGGAATTGTTGGGCTACTCTTGGTGTACTGATAGACGATGAAGGAAAAAGAGTTGAATGGGCACTTGTCGAGCGGCTGCATGCACTGCAAGAACAGGAAGGTCTGCGTTTTGCCAATAAACTCTCCAAGACGCATATTGAGTGGCAGTCACAAAAAATGAAAGTAAGTGGATTACTTTCAGCTGAATGCATTAGTTTTTGTTGTTGTGTACTTTTAGGTAAAGTTAGCTACTCAAACCCTGAGCAATAGTGTTTCAGAAGCCATCGACTTTTTACAGACAAAAATGAAGCATCCAAGCTTCCAAAACGCAAGCCCAACAATAAGATTTCTGAAAATTGTGAACAATCTCTTCGATTTGCTGAATTCAAGAAACCCTATTGGTAAGGGATGTCACACTCCCTTGAGAGAGAATAATATATCCTATTGGAAACCGATCCTACTCAGTTCTGTGGACTACCTCAGCAGTCTCAAAACAGGGGATGGGAGATTTTTGCATCTAACTAATTGGAATACGTCTATAAGAGGCTTTATCATCACTATCAAGTCGTCCATTGCACTGTATGATCAATACGTAAGTGCACGTCCTCTTTCCTATTTTTTGACCTATAAGTTAGTCAGGATCATTTAGAGCTTCACTTCTGTAGCATAAGGTAAATTTCAAGTAATTTTAAAACTTAAATCTTTTTCTAAAAGACGACATTCCAGAGCACGCAACGGCTGGAATAATAATCCAACTGCGATGCAGTTTTATCATACATTTAAACGACTTCTCGTCCGCCATGACTTGAGGAACATTAAAGGGAACTGCACTATACAGGATTCCACTTACTTGCCTTCCGCCGTGCCCTCCACATCTCAGCGAAAAATCTACACAATTTCAGTGGACGATCTTCATATGATAAAGAAGTTTGGACTCGATTGTAGCGACATGCAAATCGGTGATCACGACTACGCCATTCCAAACCTACCTCCTCTGACTGCCTTCTGCCAAAATGTGGTAGGCTACATTTTCGGTTTTGTGGTCAGAATGATGAAGCGAAAAATCAAGTGCCAGACATGCATCGTAAGTTTACACGATGTAGCTTCGACGTCTTCCACAATAGACACAGCTCTGTTGCTTGTGGACCAACGAGATAAAGGAGGACTGCTGCGACCTTCTAACGATCTTATGGAAGTGATGTTCATTGTGGAGAAAAACATTAAAAAGGTATTTACGATCACGGATGGTAAAATGCCGAAGGACGACAATTTTTACTTGACATTTTGCCATCAATTGGCAATGTCAATGTTTGCAGAGAACAAATTTTTTAAATCTCTCGATGATCATCGATTCGAATGTTCAATCCTTGAAGAAAGTCACATAATGAGAGTCATCAAAACAGCTGTATTTTGTTACACGAAAATCAGACTGCACCATGTAACTCGAAGACAAAGCCAATTGGCTCGTGGTGAACTCATAAGGAAAAAATATACCAAGTTGATTTTATTTTCTAATCAGTAGTAGGGGAATTTGGGATAAACTACCTTTTCAAATTTTAAATTATTCTTGAAGATAACCTAGTTATAAGTTAGTAATAGTGTAAGTTATAAGTTAGTAATAGTGTAAGAACAAGAGCACGGTAGGCGAAAGTCTTTCAGTTGTGGATGAAATGTTTGTTTGTATCATAGTAAAATTCTACTGGTAAGTGTATAGTCTAATAGGTATACCTATAACTTAACTCGTTTATTATTACATTCAAGCATTGTTAATGTCTTATGTTAGGCATCTAATATCAAACATAGTTTTGTAAAGAAACAAAGTAAATATTAAAGTATAATAAATAATTTGTTGACCAGTATACATATATAGTAAAACTTATGAGACCATATAGAGGAAAGTGGAACACCTTTGTCTTACCAGGGGTAGATTGGAACATATTACTTACATATAGGTACTGCTTTTTAGTTTTTAGATATTGAAACATGTAGCTAAATGGTTCTGTTATTGTACGAACAAAAAGTACCTATTCGTAATCAATATTCTCATATGTCATATTATTTGACAAACCTTAACTGGTTCACTTTTCCCCGAATTCCGTATACATAATCTAGTTATAGTCGTAGTTTTAGTTATCTAATACTGTTCAATAATTTTTTTGACTGTTTTGTAGGGCTATGATAACATTTGTTCAAATGGATACATATTGTTCTTCCTTTGGTTCTTAAAAAAGACAATTTTTCTATGAATAAAAACATTCTAAATAAATAGTTATTTTTTTACAAGTGAGCGAAGGCACTGTTTACTCTCGAACTCGATTTGAACACACGAGCGAGCGCCTTTGCTCAAGCGTACTAAACATAATTTTTTCCACAATACAACCAATGCTAATTAAAATAAGTAACACTTGCGAAATGTTTAACACGTACTATGATGTTTTTGAAATATAGTTTACACAGCTAACCGAAGGCATATTAACCGATTAACAAATTTTGCTCACTATAGTGATCAAAGGCCAGTTTTACTCACAAAAAGTAGATAGAAAAGCATAATATTAATTAAGTAGGTCCCCTAAAACGTGCTTTTCAACATTCAAGGATCTGGATGCTGTACCCACAATTGATAGGTTTTATCTATGAGGCAACCTGAACATCTTATCAATTGTAAGTACCTACCCTCTTCCGATACTCTGTTTTTGAAAGTTCACATTTGAAATTTCGACTCGGCCTTCTGGTGTACCTATACTTCGTTCACGTCTATCATTTTCTCATTGTCTCATTTCTGAGATATAAGCACATGCAATTTTTACACCACCAATAATGGGAATGTCGTGGGTATCTATCATTTTTTTTTCGGAAAAGGGTAGCTGGATACAAAGCTTACACTCCATTTTTCAGTTATTTGCATTTGGGGTTTGTCGACTTTGTGGCTACCCTCTTCCGAATCTGTTTTCGGTATATGCACATCTGAAATTCTGTCCCGCAACTAAAATAAAATTTCACCTTATTTTATTCTTTCATTGCTTATTTTTATACTTACTGAGTGTATAAATAGATCTTTAAACTCTATGGCACAACAAATAGTACTCCCTTTATAACAGAATCTCAAAAAATCTTTTCTCCATTTCTGTTGTGAGCCCCTTGCCAGCTGTAATCTACTGTATTAAAAGTCCTTAACGATTGTAATGTTTCGATTGTAACGTTTCTTATTTATTCAAGACACAGTGTTTATGTTAACAAAGTTATTCACCACACATTGTATTCCTTTTCAATTTTTGTTGTAATGAGAAACCATATTATTTTCAAGCCGAGCCTGCTTTAAGGGCCATTTAATTTGAAGCCGGTTCTGTCGTCGTCTTGTCGATTACTGCGCACACTCACCAACGGCCTGCGCAAGGTTCAATTGGAGTCAATTTTTCGCTACAAGACTGTCTCTCTATTTACTTATATACAACTCTGTGGTCACTCCTCACTCTTTCCTTCTCTAAGATGGAATGGAATTTACCTTTTTTTTACTTCGCCTATATAAATATATGCGTGTTATGTGGTAAATAAATAATGTACTTATTGTCACGTCACGTCTTAATAAATGCGCTTGTTTTTCCAAGTGTGTCTCTATTTTCTTACTTTGAAAAGAAAAAGAGAGCGGAAAAACGATCGGAAGGACGGAGAGATGACGACTTCAAGAAGAAACAGTCGGGTCCTAAATAAAATGAAATTTAGGTATTTGACTTTGCTGTATATTTTTAGAAATAGCAACATTCATTTCAAGTCGCAGTCCGCAGACGGTGTTCCTGAATTGCTGTGTCATTTTATTTCTAAAGCAAAAAATCGCTGGTCATTTTATAAATGTAAAGTGCAATTAATAATGTTGGTGATGTCGTTTTTCGTGCGTTAAGGTTGATTCTCACTATACATAACGTTTCCATACCATATCCTTTCCATAACCATTCCGTAAATTATTATACCGAGGAAATT